TTGAAAATATTTTTTTTACATTGTTTCAAGTTGTTTCGCTTGTCTAAACTTTAAATGCTTATAACTGATTAACTACCTTTTCGTCCTAAATTCTTAAATTTCTATGAATCAAAACACTTAGAAAAATATTATATAACATTTTRTATTTTAATTGCCAAAATAATAATATAAACATTGAATAAATTAGTAATAAATAAAATTTAAATAGGTAGTATGTACAACATATTTCCGTATGTGATCCTGTCACTCTGCATATATTATACATATTAATATATTAATATAAAATTTAAATTAGTTTAATTAAAAAAAAAAAAAAAACTATATTGCAATAAATCATATAGCAACAAGTAACAACACGTAAGCATTTCACTTATCTTTAGAATTTCTGCCTAAATAGCTTCTAGATATTTCTCTTGCAGCTACATTGGTTCTCAATGCAACTGGCACACCATTGTGACTTAAATACAATGAACCAGCCAACAAACTACGCTCAGTAGAGACTAACTGCTCACAGACTAATTGGCAATTCTTTCCACTATTTCCATCTAATGTTCGACGAATAAGATTGTTCATTATCTCTTCACATTCAGCTAATTGTTCTACCAGACCATATTCTAGAATAGTGTCCAATACCAAATCAGGCAGTACCTTAACACAGTATTAAATTCAGAAAATTATATTATACTCTTATGTAAATACTTACATGGTTAGTTTTAAAATAACTTATAGCAGCTGCTTCTACAGCATTTTCACCAGATAATAAATACAACAAATGAAGTAAAATAATGTTGATGTTAGGAACAMTACTTAAGTCTTCTAATTCCTGTAAAAATAATATAGACATTTAATATAATTAAACTTAAATTATTTTCAATTAAATAAAATTAAAAAGTGTGATTACATTAAAGATTAACATACTTGTTTAGTAAAATTGTGTTTACTACAGATAAACTTTAGAACAGATATTGAAATCCGAAACTCATGTGGTTGAAACACTAATAACCGCTTCAAAGCTTCAACCCATACTTCGTTACATCTGAAAAACAAAATAATTTATCGATAATGTTATTTTATTGTTACTAGTGATAGAACTCTAATATTTATAATTTTAATTTTCTAATAATATTTACAATGTTTTCAAAAATTAATTTGAAATATAAAATTAGAATCAATTACTTTTTGATTTTTTAATATTGTGTACTATAGTCTTTTAGGAATTTATTAAATAATAAAGTATTTAAATTCTACAAAAAAATAAACAACAATGTGAACATTTATGTTCAATAAAGTTATCTATTTAGTAAACATATTAGATAAAACATTTTAATAAATTATATAAAATTTTATATAACCTTATATCAATACATAATATTTTGTCCCAAGTTTACACAATATATGATCCTAAATAAAAAAAAAATATAGTCTATCTGCATGACATACTCGTTTCCCTGAGATAATAGCTTAACAATTCTATCAACATCAGCTGGCGATTTAGTCTGTAGTATTAACTGATTGAAATCCACATTATCTTGACAAACATCAGACACTGAAGATGTCTAAAATAATATTTTGATAAGAAACATTTACTAATTTTAAATATGTAAAATTAAATTAAAAAGTATCAACTAACAGAACGAGATAGTTTTATACAATGTTGTATTTTCTCTGGTAGACTCTTCAACAATCTATTTAATACAGGAGCACTACATCCAGTTTGTTGAGCCATAGAAAATGTTTCATATGTGGTTTCAGGGTTTAACAATAACTTATAATCAATATCTATAGCAAAACAATAATTTTTGATATTTTTGTATTCTTAATACTTAATAATTTTTACCTGGTATAGTACTATGAACTCTCTTCAGCAGTTTTATATGCTGAATAGGCGTTATATTATCTTCTAACTGTCCATAATCATTAGGATTGATAAAATTAAGTACTGTATAGTAGGCAATCAAAAGATTATGATTAGTTCCAGGGACGTCTTCATAAACCTCAAGAATGAAACTATTATAAAATTGTTTGTTGTTCTGAATTAATGTATTGAAATCCATTGTAGTTAAAGTTTCCTCTATATTTCTTGCAGGTATTGAATGTAAGCAATGTTTTAAAAACTCTAACAGTAACTTATCATTTATGTCTAATGATTGCCTATTGCATATTTCCAATGMTTTTTCCAAATTTTTGACCTGACCAGTTCTATAATAAAATCATAATTTGTTTTTTAATATTTTAAATAATTATAAATAATTTAAGTAAATTATACCCAGCCATCCTTATAAGTTCTTTATTCATTTCTTCTGGGTTTACATTCAAATCCAACCCTTTTGCACATTTACTATATAACAATGCGTATTTACGTAAATAATGTCCTACTTTAAGATCAGATGTTGAAGATTGAGCGTCAAGGTCAGACATCACTTCTTTGATCAACTAAAAATATAACAACTCATTTTTAACCAGTATAAAATGGTTTACTGAATTTCACAAGACTAAACATTTACTTTATTCATTGTTGTACTTTATTATTTTAAGGAAACTATCAACTAACAATCCTTTTTTTCTATTTTATCTATCCTTTTATGGTTTATACAAAATTYGTATAAAAATATACTTAATACTTATATGTTTAAAATAATCAGTTCTAATTATTAGGTTATTTTTATAGGATGTTTATAATTTATAAACAATTTTTCATTCTTAGAAAAATCACTTTATCCAGTAGATGAATAAATATTAAAAAATAGAGCATATTTCCCAGGCTCATAGAATTTGTTTTGTTAATTCTTAATAATGGTCAACAGATTTCACCTAATCATTGATTTAAAATAAAAATAAAGAGATGTAGGTATTTAATATTATTACAGGTAACATTTTAATAATATTATAACATCACAACTTGATTTATTACAATATACTGTAACAGTACAAGTTATTGCACCTATACATGCATTTTTTAATTTAAAAAAATTTACATACTTGATCAGTAGGAAATTTAAAAATCTCAATATCACGCATAATTTTATGCGCATAACGTAATGCAAAAATATAAAGTGCTAGTTTAGTACTAAGCACACCTTCGCAAGAATTGAAACACTTGTCTACAATAATATCATTTGAAATATTCAAAAAACATAATACTGACATTTTTGAATCATATCCAAGATATTTGAAACCATGAATAGCCAAAACTAAAAAAACCATTTTAATATAAAATATATTTTTAAATATATGATATATAAATTTACCTTCGTCATAATTTGAATGGTTATAAGAAACTGTAAGCAATTCTCTTAAATTGGATGATAACTCATCATGTGATAGTCCAACTTCAATGCAATTAGAACAATTTGTATGTAATGAACTTTCATTATTTGATATAGCGAGGTAATTGATATTTTTAATTCTAATTTTCAAATACATGAGTTATTAACAATTTGATAAAATAATAGAATAATAGTTAATAAAATACTAACATTGGAACCATTATTTGAAAATCACTTCCAATTATTTGTTCAGTGTTTTCATTCTCCAGTGATTTCCTTCAAAATTATAACCAAAACACTTGAGCAGTTTGAAATTTGAAGACTATTAAAACACTAGAGTTCATTAAGTGAATGCCACACACATATTATATCAGTGTATTTTGTCTCTATTTTACACAATTATAACATTGCAAATTTACATACCAATTCTTTCTAGTTAAGTTAAAGTTAATATTAGAGCGAATGTATAAAGTATAGTCACAAAGGTTTATACAATGTGTTCCGTGAAAAAGTGACCAGTTGGCGTCTTATGATAGGATACCTTAGATTATGAATAAAAACCTCTTTAAAGGGTCAATTTAACCTTTTTATTTTTAATTATGAGCAATTCAACTTTTTCTACAATAAAGCAAATCTACTGCACATTTGAAGATGTATCTTCAAAATTTTTCAATTTTTTAGGCTATTTTTTTTATTTACTTTTAACTATCATACATAAACAAACCAGAAATATACAATTTTTTTATTAAATTAAAAAAGTTAAAAACAGCTATCCAAAATTAGCATTTTTGAAAGGAAATCGCATGAAACTCCAAATATTGACGTATTTTTTACACAGTTTAAATTTTTATTTTAATATCCTACAAAATAATAGCAACAATACTAATGAATAAAAACAATTTTTAAATTTATGGTTTGTGTATGTTAATTTATAGCACGTTAAAAAGCAAAAGAAAAATTAAGAAAAAAAGTTGAAAAGTTTTGAAGATACATCAGCAAATGTACAGTAAATTTGGTTTTTTTTTAAAAAGTAGAATTGTTTATAACAAAAAATAATAATAAGATGTACCCACTACCCATAATGAAGTTTGTTTTTCATAGCTTAGTAGAGCATTACATAACCATTTGTTGTCTCAGTCTTACAAGTGCATAACATAGAAAATCGACACTCAGCAGATCATGTTTAGCTCTGTTAGTTTAAAAATTAGAGTAAATTGACCTATTATGAAACTTGATGGTAAGAACATTATCTGTATTTGCATATGGGTTTTTTATGATAACTTAGATTTTTAATGAGTTATAAGCATTTTTATTTACTCTTTTTTATAAACGCACAAAATTAAACTATTGTAAAAAACCCACACACAAACACAGATATTCTTAACATCAAGTTTCATAATAGGTTGATTCACTCTAATTTTTTAACTAAAGGAGCTAAATGTGATCTGCTGAAAGTAAATTTGCCATGTTATGCACTTTTAAAACGGAGGGAGACAACAAATGGTTGTGTGGTGTCCTCTTAAGGAACACTTTTATAAGATGCAAGCTAGTCACTTCTTCATGGTACATATTGTATACATTTTAACCAGGCATAATTTTATTTTGAATGATGTTATATGAATTTGTAAACAATATAGGGTGATTTTTTTATCGAAGAACACTCATTTTTTAAAAAGTATTTACTTTTTTCACATTATTTTTTTACATAGTTTCAAGTTGTTAAAAAACAAACGTTTTTATTAAAAAAATATATTTTTAAATATTTTATATCCTTATCATTTTTTAAGTTTTTTACTTTTTTGAATGACAACATAGAATTTTAATTTCATATTCCAAAGCAGAATATTTTTCTAAGTATATTGATTCTTAAAAATCGAATTTAGAACTAGTAGTTATAAGTTATAAGTATTTAAAGTTTTGATTGGCAGAGTGGAGTGGTACAGGGTTACCCCGCAAAATGTTTGTCCACTACTCCGCTTGTCTAAACTTTAAATACTTATAACTCATAAACAACTCGTCCTAAATTCAATTTTTATGAATCAAAATACTTAGAAAAATATTCGACTTTGGAATATGAAATTAAAATTCTATGTTGTCATTCAAAAAAAGTAAAAAAACTTAAAAAATAATAAGGATAAAAAATATAATTTTTTAATAAAAACGTTTGTTTTTTTAACAACTTGAAACTATGTAAAAAAATATTTTGAAAAAAGTCAATACTTTTTTAAATAATGAGTGTTATTCGATAAAAAAATCACCCTGTATTTAAGTAGTACAACTCATTTTAAAAGAAAAATATGAAAAAAAGCTTTTTGCTCAGTGCAGTTTACATTTTACACCAAAATGTTGGTAATATGTAAATTTTCTTTGATATTATTTATTAATTTATAATTAAACTATGGTAAGAATCTAATATGTAAAATAGCAGTGTAATGTGTGTGTAATATAGAAACAACATAGCATATGACTGTAATGTCCTCTTAATATTATTGAGTTCATGAATACTGAAATACTAATGCCTGAAAAATTAAATTTAAAACACAATAATAATATCACCTTAATTCAATAATTGAAACAATTTTTTCTACTGGACAATTGAGCACAGCAAATGACAATAATTTTATTTTCAGACCAATATCAATAATATCGTTATGTACTCCTAATTCAATGCATAATGGCCAAACTGACGGTTCATTTTTATCCATCAATTGAACACAAACTTTAGAAGCAAATTTCAAATCATTAGCCTTGAACAAAAAATAATTCATATAGAGTGTACATAGCACAAGGAAATAAATATATATATATATTTCAATATATTACTTGATATGCAACCATAGCACATTTGAATAAGATATTGGATTCGGTGGAAATAAAACTTTCATGACTTTTAATATCCAATTTGTTAGCTAAAGTTATTAATTTTTTCAATAAAGTATAATTATTTGGCTTAGAAGATATAGTAATGTCAATCAGTTTCCATTTATTTTTACATTGACGCACTATTAAATACATAGGTATATATATATTATATACATGTACATAATATATTCATAATAATATTCAAAATTTGACATTATTAAATTAAAATAATTACCTTGGACTGGAAGTAATTTGGTACCAAGAGTATTAAATATTGTCATAGCAGAAATTAAATTCCATTCATGTATAAGTGAATCTTCAAAATTAGGTAAAATTTGTAAACATAATCTAAAAATTACAGTATTTTTTTAATTATTGTTATTATTAATTATTCCAGCTATAAGATCAAAATAACTTTAAAATAGTTATTCAAATGGTTTAATGTTGTGTAATGCATTTGTGATAAATTTTTAAAATAAAATTTCATCATTAAAATAACAATTATTAAATTTAATTCTATACATAATATCAATAAATCATTACTACTTTTTACTTTGCTAAGGTCATTGACACATCATTGAAAGACTTTGATCGATCAAAGTACATATCAAATGTATCTTTAACAATCCTTAAACTTAGGTGCTCTGGTAATTTACCCAGTAAAATATCTTTACTTAACGGTATTATTTTTGGATTTTGACTATCTAAAAGCATTTTGACATATTCCTAAAAATATTAATAACAAGTTACATATCAACAAATTACTAACATTCAAACTATTATTTTTAATTTTTGTTTTTACCTCATAACATATTTCAATTGAAAGTGATGGGAAACAATACTCTGCAATTTTTAATAAATCACCAAGTACATTTAACCAATACTTTTCTGTTTGATTTTTTCTAATACAAATAATTAGCATACAAAGTTTAGAAAAAAATAAAATTTTTAATAATATCCATTTTTTTAAATTGTTATATTACTTACATTGATGTATATTCACATATGGATACCATAACTTTTCGGAAAAAAACAATGTTGGTCAAATTATCGTTCAACACTTTAAGAGTATATCTAATACCATAAGTTTGTAATAATTTTGAAGCATTTATAATTTGCTTAGTATCTTCAAGTTGTTTTATATAAGATCTGTTTTCAACAGTAATTCTGTAATAAAAATAATATATTTTTACTATGGATAATTAAATACGCATTTCATTTTTACATTACTTTACACTTTTTAACAATGACAAAACTATATTTTGTGCTTCATCTAATTGATCAGTTCTTGAGTACGTATAAATACATTTGAGACCCAAGATTATTTTTGCTTCATCTGATACATTTATACTCCAACCATTAATTTGAACATACTCAAAATACTGAAATTGCCATAAAATTATAAACTTTAATTTTTTTAAACTATTATTTTTTTAAATAATTACCTGTGACAATTTTTTTAATGAACTTTGACTAGTCTGTATTAGAAATTGCTCCAGTAAATAAAATGTATCTGCTTTAGTTTGAATAAATGGTAAAAAATAGTTTGTTAGATTATTCAAAAATAAATTTTCATCGCACTACAAAGTTTTAGAAAATGTGAATTAATTTAATAATAAAATTAAGTAGTTAAATTAATTTTACAAACCCTTGACATAAACAATGATGCTTTTTCTAAGGTATTCAATTGTTCAATATCTTCTAAGAACATATTCTCTAAGCCCACTTCATATACCAAGACTTCTAAAACGGATAAATCTTCATGCAATTGTTCTAACCCCTAAACAGTTGAAAATTTATTTTTATATTTATAAATATAAAAATGTCATTAAAAATATTTGTTAAATAATTACATTTTTACCTTGATGTTATTTTCACGAGCAATGGTAGCCATTTCTAATGTATGTTGGACTAATTTAGTGCATGACTCAATGTTTCTAATTCTTTTTGTATACCAATGAATGAGATCGTGTTCAGTGAAAGAAACAGTTTTCATATTATCAAAGGTGCCAGTTAATAATTTGAATCTATCAGACTCACACCAATCAAGTTCTCTTAAGATTTTTGATTCTAATAAAATAACTTTATTTGCAGATGGATCCCATACTGGCAATAAGTGTCTAAATTTTAGAAGAAAAAGTTATTTAATACAAT